TYACCAAATTAATTTTCAACCACAACATTCCAAGCTCACAACCAACTCRTTGGTYAGCAAATCTCATTCACATTCTGTTAGCCGTTTAATATTGGGATTAATGGAGGCAGCACTAGTAATTGCTAATCATTTCCTTCTTTCCATTAGACCAGTGGTTCCCAAACTGTGATCTGTGGACCACCAGTGGTCCGCAAGAACTAAAATATGGTCCGCAGCCTCACCATTACTAGACTGTGGTAACAAGAGTGACCGGTCTCGTGAAACCCTCTTACAGTGCTGAGGCTAATCAAATATGGTTTTCTGTGGGCGAGCAGATGGCAACCACTGCATGGCATATGTTCTGTATCGGAAACTAGAGCTGATGTGGTCTATCCAATGCAGTTTTCTGAATCAGCATCCCAAATAACCAAACTGAATCTAGAGTTGGCCAAAAACTGATTTGTAACCCTTTTGGTACTAATGTTATAATAATGGAAACGGCTATATGATTGTATAACTAATGTTATTGTTTTTAATCTATTGTGTATTTATGGTTTTATATTGTTGTTATATTGTGATATTTATGGCATCTAATTGTTGCCAGTATTAGCCACTCTGAGTCCCGTCCCCACCCCCGCGGGGGGTTGTGAAGGGCGGGGTAGAAATGTTGTAAATAAACAAATAAATAATGTTAGTGTGTGGTCCCTGGTCAAGTGTTCCCGGGTCAAAGAGGTCTCTGGTTAAGTGGTCCGTGCTCAAAAGAAGGTTGGGAACCACTGCTTTAGAATTTAGCAAATAATCTCCGTGCAAAATTATTCCATTAATATCATAACATACAGAATAAACTCAGAATTCTAAATCATAGAATCATAGAATCAAAGAGTTGGAAGAGACCTCGAGGGCCATCCAGTCCAACCACATTCTGCCAAGAAGCAGGAATATTGCATTCAAATCACCCCTGACAGATGGCCATCCAGCCTCTGTTTAAAAGCTTCCAAAGAAGGAGCCTCCACCACACTCCGGGGCAGAGAGTTCCACTGCTGAACGGCTCTCACAGTCAGAAGTTCTTCCTCATTTTCAGATGGAATCTCCTCTCTTGTAGTTTGAAGCCATTCTTCCATTGCGTCCTAGTCTCCAGGGAAGCAGAAAACAAGCTTGCTCCCTCCTCCCTGTGGCTTCCTCACACATATTTAGACATGGCTATCATATCTCCTCTCAGCCTTCTCTTCTTCAGGCTAAACATGCCCAGCTCCTTAAGCCGCTCTTCACAGGGCTTGTTCTCCAGACCCTTGATCATTTTAGTCGCCCTCCTCTGGACACATTCTAGCTTGTCAATATCTCTCTTCAATTGTGCTGCCTACTGTGTTTCTGATGGTCTTTGGCGATCCCCTTGCAAGCCCCCCAAGAAGACCCGACCCTCAGGTTGAGAAATGCTGCCTTAAAGAGCAATACTACCTTATTTCCTCGTTTGGATGGATTAAAATGGCCAAATTAATTTTCAATCAAACATTCCAAGCTCACAAACAATCAGGTCTGCAAATAATCATTCAGATTCTGTTAGGAATTTAATGTAGGGAGCTCTGTAATTGTTAATCATTCCCTTCTTTCCTTTACAGCAGTGGTTCTCAACCTGTGGATCCCCCGATGGTTTGGCCTTCAACACCCAGAAATCTTAACAGCTGGTAAACTGGCTGGGATTTCTGGGAGTTACAGGTCTAAACACCTGGGGACACACAGGTTGAGAACCACTACTTTAGACCTTGACAAATAAAGCAGTACCTATTGATCTATTCACATTTGCATGTTTTCGAACTGCTAGGTTAGCAGAAGCTGGGGTCAGCAGTGGGAGCTCACGCCTCTCCCCGGATTTGAATAAACTAGATTAATTCTCACCTACAAATGTTAAGAAATATCATGTATGTTTTTAGACTGAATACTAGGCTTGTTCGAGTTCGTTCGGAAGCTTCTAAAATCGGAATTAATTCGGATTAATTTTCCTTTTGAACCAATTTCGAGCCATGCAGGAATAGTGGGAGGAGCAATTCCGAATTGAAACCACTTACCAATTGTTCGGAATTATTTTTGGATTTCTCTCACAGTCATTTTCATTTTAAGACCATTAAGCAATTTTGGCAAAGCCTAACAAATGATTTTAAAATCTCACAGTTTCCCTTCCCTGGCGGCGAGCTGTGATGCAGAGGGACGAGGTGGGCGTCCACCTCATCCCTCTGCATCACAGCTCGCCGCCAGGGAAGGGAAACTGGGGATCTAATCGCTTTAAAAGATGGAAACATGCTAGAGGTAATGAGGAAGAGATCCAGGATGTAGTTTGAAATTTTTATCAGCACTGTCTGGGTACTATCATAATACATTAACTGCATCATTTATCATGGTACTATCATAAGAAGAAACTGTGAGATTTTAAAACTGTTTGTTCAGGCTTTCTGGCTTTGCCAAAGTTACTTAATGGTTCTGGAGGGCACCTTCCATTAACAAAGCGATTCGAATTTCTGATATTTCCGATCTTTTTTTAAAGAAAATTTCAGAAATCATTTCAAAATCGAATCGCCAGCACCCCCTACATCCGAAACGAGTATTTATCCACTTTTTTTGGATCAAACAAGCCTACTGAATTTATTTATTTATTTTATATACCGCTTTTCTCAGCCCTCAGGTGACTCAAAGCGGTGAACAACATCGATACAAAACATCACGAGACAAGTATAGGGCAATTAAAAATAATTGTAACATAAATCATTAAACATCAGTATACACACACTGAATACACACACACACACACACACATCTGTAATAGATTTTCTATTATTTATATGTTATGGATAGGACAAGAAATATTCATAGTAACCAGTATGCATGATTGGATAAAAAACAATTTATCAGTTATGTTTATTAGATACTAGCCTGGGTTATTTGAGAAAGGAATTGTCTATCAAGGTTGGTCTTTATCAGTTATTTATATGGCTCGCAGTGGTCTCAGGAAGTTAGTGAAGGTACTGCGAGTCCCATCATCTGTGGTCCATCCTCCTCCAAACTGCACCAGGATGGAGAGTGGGTCATGGGGGCTCTGTGTGCCAAATGTGGTCTTGATCAATCATTGGATGAAGGTCACAATGGTCTCAGAAAGTGAGTTAAGGTACTGCAAGCCCCATCATCCATAGTCTGTTCTCCCCCAAACCTCACCAGAATGTTTCGAGTTGGCCAAGGGGGCTCTCTGTTCCAAGTTTGGTCTTCCTTAGTATTTGGATAAGTGTCGCTGTGGTTTCAGGAAGTGAGTGAAGGTACTGCAAGTCCCATCATCCATCGTCTGTCCTCATCCAAACAGCATCAGGATGTAGCGTGGGTCATGGGCGCTCTGTGTGCCAAGTTTGGTCTTGATCAGACATTAGATGAGGGTTGCAGCAGTCTTGGGAAGGGAGTGGAGGTACTTGAAATCCCATCATCCATGGTCTGTCCTTCTCGAAAGTGCACCAGAATGTAGAGTGGGTCATGGGGACTCTGTGTGCCAAGTTTGGTCTTGATCAGTCATTGACGAGGGTCTCAGTGGTGATTGAAGTGACTGCAAGTGCCATCATCCATTGCCAAATTCTTCCAAACAACACCAGGATGTAGAGTGGGTTATGCGGCTCTCTGTGTGAATTGTGGTCCTGATCTATCATTGTTGGCAGTTGTAATGGTCTCAGGAATGGAGTGCAGGTATTGCAGGTCCCATTGTCCATGGTGCATCCTCCTCCAAACTGCACCAGGATTTAGASTGTGRCATGGAGACTCAGTGTGCCAAGTTTGGTCTTTATTGGTAATTGGATGAGGGTTGCAGTGGTCTCAAGYATTGAGCAAAGGTYCTGCAAGTCCCATAATCCCTYYTRCATRCCCYYTCAAACCACACCAGGACGWAAAGTGGGTCATYAGAGGTCTATGTACCAAYTTTGGTCCTGATCAGTCATTGGATGYGGTTAACAGCGGTCTCAGAAAGTGAGTGATGGTACTGCAAGTCCCATCATCCATAGTCCATCCTCCTCCAAACTGCAGTAGGATGTAGAGTGGGTCAGGGGGGCTCTGTGTGTCAAGTTTGGTTTGTATTGGTAATTTTCTGACACAGCCTCTGGCCTTTTCCTTTCCTCTCTTTGTCATCTCGGAATCTTGGAATTGAGGCTGGCCAATCAGAGACCATATGCAAATTTCCGTCTCTCATTAACCCTCTTCACCACCAGGGGCTCCTGTTGAGGCTGGCCAGTCAGAGACCATATGCAAATAGCACCACAGTGGCAGCCAATCAGAAAGCTGCCACAAACTCTTCCGCCCTACGTCCTCCCTCTGTRCTCCCTCACATACAAACTTTGACTTTTYTTATATGTATAGATTTTGATTTTAGAGTTTTTTAAATACTGGTAGRRAGATTTTCTTCATTTTCATGGTTTCTTCCTTTCTGTTGAAATAGTCCACATGGRTGTTCATACAAGAAAACCCCCTACCACATACATYGAATTACYTATMAGTRATTGATCAAATCCATTTCCACACTCCTCATCAAACTTCACAATTAAATGTATTTTTAACCTATAATAATAATAATAATAATAATAATAATAATAATAATAATAATAATAATAATAACAACTTTATTTATACCCCAACACCATCTCCCCGATGGGGACTCGGAGCGGCTTATATGGGGCCAAGCCCAGACAACATATTACAACAATAATATCAAAACATAGACAAGAATCCATTTTGACACTCCTCATCAAACTTCTCAAGTAAATGTATTTTTCACCTTGAATATACATAACAGGAGATATATGCAG